TTCTTCTTTCTTTCTTCTTGCTTCTTCTTCTTCTTTCTTCTTCTTCTTCTTCTTCTACCCTTCTTCTTCTTCTTCTTCTTCTTCTCTTCTTCTTCTTCTTCTTCTTCTTCTTCTTCTTCCTTCTTCTTCTTCTTCTGCTATCTTCTTCTTCTTCTTCTTTCTTCTTCTTCTTCTCTTTCTTCTTCTTCTTCTTCTTCTCTTTCTTCTCTTCTTCTTCTTCTTCTTCTTCTTCTTCTTCTTCTTCTACTTCTTCTTCTTCTTTCTTCTTCTTCTTCTTCTTCTTCTTCCTTCTTTCTTCTTCTTTCTTCTTCTTCTTCTTCCTTCTTCTTCTTCTTTCTTCTTCTTCTTCTTCTTCTTCTTCTTCTTCTTCTTCTTCTTCTTCTTCTTCTTCTTCCTCTTCTTCTTCTTCTTCTTCTTCTTCTTCTTCTTCTTCTTCTTCTTCTCTTCTTCTTCTTCTTCTCGTTTCTTCTTCTTCTTTCTCTTCTTCTTCTTCTTCTTCTCTCTTCTTCTCGTCTTCTTCTTCTTCTTCTTCTTTCTTCTTCTTCTTCTTCTTTCTTTCTTCTTCTTCTTCTTCTTCTTCTTCTTCTTCTTCTTCTTCTCTTCTTCTTCTTCTTCTTCTTCTTCTTCTTCTTCTTCTTCCCTCTTCTTCTTCTTCTTCTTCTTCTTTCTTTTCTTCTTCTTCTTCTTTTCCTTCTTCTTCTTCTTCTTCTTCTTCTTCTTCTTCTTCTTCTCTTCTTCTTCTTCTTCTTCTTCTTCTTCTTCTTCTTCTTCTTCTTCTTCTTCTTCTTCCTTCTTTCTTCTTCTTCTTCTTCTCCTTCTTCTTTCTTCTTCTTTACTTCTTCTCTTCTTCTTCTTCTTCTCTTCTTCTTCTTGCTTCTTCTTCTTCTTCTTTCTTCTTCTTCTTCTTCTTCTTTCTTCTTCTTCTCTTCTTCTTCTTCTTCCTTCTTCTTCATTTCTTCTTCTTCCTTCTTCTTCTTCTTCTTCTTCTTCTTCTTCTTCTTCCTTCTTTTCTTCTTCTTCTTCTTCTTCTTCTTCTTCTTCTTCTTCTTCTCTTCTTCTCTTCCTTCTTCTTCTTTTCTTCTTCTCTTCTTCTTCTTCTTCTTCTCTTCTTCTTCCTCTTCTTCTTCTTCTTCTTCTTTCTCTTCTCCTCTTATTCTTCTTCTTCTTCTTCTTCTTCTTCTTTCTTACTTCTTTCTTCTTCTTTCTTCTTGGTCAAGGTTCATTGCTGCAGATATCGCACCCCTCCATCCATCTTACTGATTGGCCCTCTCTTTCCAGTTGGTGACCCCAAGTGTTTGTAGGTCTTTCTGAACATTATCTCTCCATCGTCTTCTTGGTCTGCCTCGTGGTCTACGACCGTTCAGAACCCTTGTGTATACAGTTTTTACCTATCTGGTCATCTGACATTCTTTCAATACGCCCAAGCCATTTCAGTCTGTTTTTCTCAAAGTCATGAAAGTGCCACCCCTAATAGCTTCACTCTGCTAGATCAAAAGTTCAGACTCTATTTTGATTACCCTGCTTAAATCGTCCCATTACGGTACCGCCTGATGCGGCCAAATATCTGTATCATAGGAGGGCACGGCCTTGTTCATTAGAAATTGCAACAACTTACACAGAATGGTTGCTACTAGGTTACAGATTTTCAAAGTTACGAACGACCTCTGGAACGACTGTAGAAGATTTACTAAACGGCAACATGATTACTACATGCTGCAAATGCAGTAAAGCAAATCACGTGATCTTTCAAATAAGGCTTGCGATTCTAAAGACTCATTCAGTAATGTATAAATATACCTCTGAGAAATAAGAGCTGTCAAAAGGTTTGTATACAATGAAGGGCGCATGCTAGGTGGCGACATCAACGGCAAAATATAGCGGGACATAAGTCTAAAGACATTAGTGTGTCTTTTCCATTGGGAATTATGTGAATTCAATGTAGGTGTCCGTGTTTAGTTCTCAAACGTGAAAAACATTGAGAAGTCAAAAAGGTTCTTTTCCACGTCTGTAGGCATATTGGGCAGACAGAGCTAGACCTATTTTTTGTAGACCAATCGGAACTTTGGTGGATGATGCTGTCAACATCACGCTGGTCGCCTTTACTTTCCAGCAATGCACCTGCTAGCCACTCAAGACTGGGTCGACATGGGAGACAGGGTAACTTTTAGAAGAAAACAATCCCTTTTCATAATTTTTCTAGGGCAATGGGTACTTTGGGTGGGGTGTGGGTCCCTTTATATGATATAAATAAACGAGGAGGCGGCGCCCCAAGTGGCCAAGACCCCATATTCCAGCACCCCTGTTTCCACAAAAGTCAGCGAGGCGCTTAATGATGATCATCATCATCCTCATCCGCCTGAACTCAGAGACATAAGATACCAGCGAGACCCAATCAGCAGATTTAACATACAACAGTTTTCCGTTTAAGATCAGGACACTGCAGGCTCAGCTACCACGTGCATAAAATAAAGATTGTGCAGTCCCCACAGTGTGCCGGCCAAACAGGACCACAAACACCTCAGCACATTCTGCAGACCTGTTTACCTACAACTTCGAAAAGACACCTGGCCTCAAGAGCAAAGTGTGCAGAGCAAGCTATGGGGAACCATGAAGGACCTGCCACTGACATTCTAGTTGATAGTGGTAACCCACCTGGTGGTCTATCTGAGCATGCGAAACCGAACACAAAGAAGAAGAAGAAGAAGAAGAAGAAGAAGAAGAAGAAGAAGAAGAAGAAGAAGAAGAAGAAGAAGAAGAAGACATAAAATATGATCGGAATAGACACCCGAATATTTACTTAGAAGTCCAAGTTTCTGAACAACCAGGTGTACTGATGCAAAAGGTTAGGCCAAAACACACAAAAATTGGGAATAAACCAATTACCTGTTTATTAGTGTGAATTCACATTAAAAAGGACAGCTGGCACTTGTAGAATGGTTTATAGCTAGGCTGCGGCATCTGCGCTTTTCGAGCCAACACATGCGATTTCACCAAAAGTCTAGTTTGTTCCCTTTCACGTCGAGTTTGTTAGGGTGGCTGTGATGCCATGCTTGTTCCCCCCCCCCCCTTTTCCCATGTGTCTCTCTTTACAAAATCGCCCTGCAAACCCGCACGGGGAAGTCAAGTAAAGGATATGAGAGAACCTGATCTACAACCTTGGTGAAACCTTTTTGCATTTTAACACCCCTGCGGGGCCGGATACAATGAAAGCTCCTGTAGCGTTGTAATGAAGGTTTAGAAAGTCATTCTGTTTTCTGTTCTGGTAATCTGTGAGTGTGTGTATTACCTTGTTACTTGTGAACTGAGAGGTATGCTTCGCTCATGTTTGTTGGTATCTTGTTTTGGTTCGTTTATATTTTCAACAGATAGCTTCCCGTCTCAACGTTAGACACAACTTTTCCTCTTTTTAAAGTCCCACCCGGGCTCCGGTCGCGGGCCCTAAATAAAATGTATCCGTTGATCGGGGTTTCTGGGACTTGTGCCTGGGTGATCCTCATCAGAATGGTGGCACTTTGAGTCACAAGTTGTTTGATCGCTCAGTGTACCATCCTGGTAGGATTAAACGACGCACTGCCTTAGCAGTTCTTGGTCTTTCGAATTTCGAATTCTGTAGTAGATTTCTATGACATCGCCTCAGACGAGCAAACTAGCTGACATCAGATTGTCTAATTCTGGTTTCTGAATCACTTGTCGTGCTTACGATTTCCAGCGCCTCTTGTCTCCTTTTAAGACCAAACAACTTTTGGACTCTCTATTTCCGACAGTACGTTTTAAAAGTAGTGTCCTTTAACTTTAATAAATATCTCGAAAACTCCTGTTCTCCTACACTCAATTTTGCATGTGATTTTAGACTTTCCATGTCTTTTTGACTTGTAGACAGTGTTCGTGGTCACGATATCGCCTGGGTAAACCTGTGCTACCTGGGTATTCTCCTGTAGGGAACCCAGTTGTAGCTGTTGTCATCGTCTGGGGCGCTCTTGTATGTCACTGGAGCAAGTCATACTATCTTGACATTTCTCCGGATGCACAACCACATAAAGCATCTAACGCACTTCATGCTCAAGCTTTCATGTTTTTGATTCTTTGTTTTCATGATCTGTCTCATTGAACCCGCACATATTCCGGAACTTCGTGCAAAACCCGCACCTATTCCGTAACTTCGTGCAAAACTCGCACATATCTCGGAACATCGTGCAAAACCCGCACATTTTCCGGAACTACGTGCAAAACCTGCGCATATCCCTACTTCCTGATAAATGTCGCAACGTTAAAATATTAATCGTTTAGAAATACGCTGGTAGTGTGCACTGACGGCTTCATCCCTTTACATCCACCTCTTTCCACCCTTATATCCTTCTTCTTCGTTAACTGGTTGTAAGCTCCCGATGAAAGTCTTGGTTGTTCTTCCATTTGGACTTTGTACATTCTTTTATTGGTTTATTTGTGTGCAGCTGGTTGTTCCCTGCCACTCGGGAAGATGCACTCTGACTTTGAAGGAACCCCCCCCCCCCCCTTCAGTTAGTCGACTCCTACGACATGCTTGTTGTGGAGGCAGTGAGTCTGTTATAAAATAAATATATTTAATTTCGAATCTAACAGTACCCTTTGCATAGTCACAATTTCGTCTTGTCCCTGTCTGAGAGTACGAATAAGTGCAGCAGGAGAAGATCGAGGCCTGGGGTCATGACCCAGATCGGCCCACCCTCTGAAACTGTCTAGGAGTTAATGGGCCGAAACAATTGTGGACGAGGTATCTTCAACTGATGAACGGTTGACTCCTGCAGTACATGCTTCCCTGTGGAGTTATTATTATTCTTTTCCCCACACGCCCAATTCAGGACTTTGATCATGTTTAAGAACCAGAGTTTTGTATGCACATCTGTTTTACAAATCTGGCTTCTTTGTATGCATACACCGCCGCCTTTGTAAGTTGATTAATATAGTTCTTGTCTTTCAGGGTGACAGAAATTGGCGATTACATCATCGCAGTTTAAGCAGAGATGAGAATGACACAGGGCCTAGTTTACCTGCTGTGTTGTGTTGTGTTAGCTGCTCACACTGCGGGTAATTCTACACATAATTGTTTACATAGATTTTTTGTTTTGTTTTGTGTTCTGACAACTCTGCGCAAGTAATTCCACACAGATATAACTATGTTCAACAATGGCGAGTTACATTCCCATTCAAGTACCATTTTCTACACCCTCAGTTGGATTGGGCATATAGGGCTAGACCTATATTTTTTTTAAACCACTTGGTACTTGGTGGGTGATGTGGTAAGCATCACGCCTGTTGCCTTTACTTCCCAGGACTTTACCTTGTAACCATTTGAGGCTGTGTCGACCTGGAAAACAAGGTCATTTTTTTTTTAAAACAGTCAGGCTCTACCAGGATTTGAACCCACAACCTTATGATCGTCTAGCTCCTACACTAGGGCGTCTTCTTTAAATTTAAGGAGACATTATTATTATGAGAGAATATATATATATATATATATATATATATATATATATATATATATATATATATATATATATATATATATAACGAATTGTTGGGACACGCAGATGCATCCTGTGTGGTTTTGAACACAACACCTGTTGAGTAACAGTTGGTCTGTTCATCTATCAAACTAGCACTATATATTTAACAATCCCAAGACGAGACAGTGCCGATGCATGCATGTGACGGCTGCAAACACCGCTCACACAAACTCCCGGTGGCAAGACACAATATTTATCACTTGAGTTATAGCGTTATCGAATTGTTGGTTGTCATTTTTTTTCTTTCTCGACTACCTATTGTTTTTTTAAAGGTCTTTCACAGCCATTCCGTGAAAAAAAAAAAAAAAGAAAGAAATCGAATGGATGTTACAACGGCGCTTCGTCTATCAGAAACAAAGCTCTACCCACATATATATATTTTATTGCCTCTAAGCGACAGCAGATGTCACGGTAACCGAAAATTGTAATTTTGTGACGTTGGAGTTAAAAAATAAATTTATCTACATTTGGTTTTGATTTCTATGTTTGGTTAGATGCAGGTGGGCTGCAAAACAACGTTTGGTTCTTTTCTGTGTAGCGACCACATAACGCGAGATTTACGGAAATCCCATATTATGTAGAGGGGGTTTGGGTTAGTAGGAGTCGCCATTCATTTAACACTAACCCTAACTCCCTTGTAGAATGGGATGTCCCTAAGTCTCGCGTGATGTGATCGCTAACAGAAAAGAACCCAATTGTCCCCTGTTTTGGATGGTCATGAATGTAAACAGATTGGGAAACACTGATATCCAGAATTTGTGACCATCTCTTTAAGTGCAAGTCTGTTTTCTTTTTATTTTTATCTTTTCCATAGCACAAAATACGAATGCCTGCTACAGCAACGAAACAAACTGCCTCTCTGAATTTAGGCAACTCCTGCGTGATACTGATAGGTTTTGGTTTGGATCCTCATTTGAAAGAAATTGTCCCCCAAGTGTAAGTTTTTGTATTGTGTTATTGATACTAACAAGAGAGCGGAAGGGAAAAGAGGTAAGAAAATACAGAAAAGAAGGAGAGATGGGGAAGAAAGAGGGGAGAGACAGAAGAAAGATTTAGGAGGGGAGAGAGACAGGGAGAGAATGTGAGAGACACGAGAGACAGAGAGAGAGAGAGAGAGAGAGAGAGAGAGAGAGAGAATGAGAGAGTATAGGATGGGTGAGAGAAAGAGACTGGGAAGAAGAAGACTTGACATGTTGTCATTTGTAAATTTGTTAGCAGACGACTGAATCACTTCTCCACGAGAAGCATGTAAGATCACGTCATAAGACATAACCTTGATGATGATGATGAAGATCTCTACGGAGAAGCATGGAAAATCACATCATGAGACCTACCCTTGATGATGATGATGAAGATCTCTACGGAGAAGCATGGAAAATCACATCATGAGACCTACCCTTGATGATGATGTTGATCTTGATGATGTGATGATAATGCAGATGATGATTTATCTATCCACTTTATCGAATTAATGACCTTTTATTCACAGCTCCAGAACTCCATGGAATGCTCTAATCCAAACACAACCCAGAAGTCGATCTTGTCAAGGTTACTGGGGCTCAACGACACGGACCCGACAGTGATGGAGATCGCCCACAATATTTCTTTAGCCAACATTACATACACGGTCCCTGCAGGTTTGGCTTTAGATGTTGCTGTCCATGTTTTAATAGTTCTGTACTCACGAGGTAATAGTCGGCGGCTGTGATTTTCAACTCCAAGGTGCCTGGTTCTATCACAGCTGCTGTCGATTTGGCGACAGACGGTCTTGCGTTCGGTTCAGTAGGGGTGTTGAGAGCGCAGCGTAGAGGAAAAATGGCAAACTACTGAACGTAAAATTGCCTAGTGGATCACAAAAAGCCACACAGTAATAATACTAAATGCAGGTGTTTGTTTCGCAACGTCATACAAGGTGTATAGGACACGCAACTAACTTTTTCGTTTTGCACAGTGATATAAGGACCCTTATGGCTCCACTGGGTCATTGGGTGTATAAGTCCAGTCTTAGAATTGTATGTAGATTCTCTTTGGGTGATGTGGTAAACATGACACCGGAAACCTTTACTTCCAATTTCCTGTTTACGCTGGGTTTAAATGCAAGCCCATGTGAATTTAAAATATCCACTTTGCTGAGGATTCGCAAAAAGAACTTAGCCAGCAACTTGGAACTTAGACAGCAACTTAGAACTTAGCCAGCAACTTAGAACTTAGCCAGCAACTTAGAACTTAGCCAGCAACTTAGAACTTAGCCAGCAACTTAGTACTTAGCCGGCAACTTAGAACTTAGCCAGCAACTTAGAACTTAGCCAGCAACTTAGAACTTAGCCAGCAACTGAGAACTTAGCCAGCAACTGAGAACTTAGCCAGCAACTCAGAACTTAGCCAGCAACTTAGAACTAAGCCGGCAATTTAGAACTTAGCCAGCAACTTAGAACTTAGCCAGCAACTTAGAACTTAGCCAGCAACTTAGAACTTAGCCAGCAACTTAGAACTTAGCCAGCAACTCAGAACTTAGCCAGCAACTTAAAACTTAGCCAGCAACTTAGAACTTAGCCAGCTACTTAGACAGCAAAGGGAAAGTAGCTGTTACAAGGAGAAAGAGAAGAAGAAGAACAAAAAAAGAAGAAAAAGCAGATAAAGAAGAAGAAGAAGAAGAAAAAGGATGATAATCTTCTTCTTCTTTTTCACGTTCACCAGCTGTACACTCTGGCGGAAAGTTCAGGTTGCTCGTCCACTACTGAACTGCAGTCCTGCTCCAGAACCTGAGTGTTGCGTGTGCATCCGTTTTACAGATCTTATTCTCTTGAATACAGACTGCTGGTTCCTTGCCTCTCCGGCAGATGCACTCCTACTTCAAAGGAAGCTCCCCAATTATTCGACTCTTACGACATGCTTTTTGGGGAGGCAATGCGTCTATTCTTGTTTTTCCCCACAATAATGACCCGGAACCCACACGGGGGTTAAATGATGATAATGATTATGAAGATAAGGATGTCCATGGTGGCGAAAGAAAGAAAGAAAGAAAGAAAGAAAGAAAGAAAGAAAGAAAGAAAGAAAGAAAGAAAGAAAGAAAGAAAGAAAGAAAGAAAGAAAGAAAGAAAGAAAGAAAGAAAGAAAGAAAGAAAGAAAGAAAGAAAGAAAGTAAGAAAGAAAGAAAGAAAGAAAGAAAGAAAGAAAGAAAGAAAGAAAGAAAGAAAGAAAGAAAGAAAGAAAGAAAGAAAGAAAGAAAGAAAGAAAGAAAGAAAGAAAGAAAGAAAGAAAGAAAGAAAGAAAGAAAGAAAGAAAGAAAGAAAGAAAGAAAGAAAGAAAGAGGCAGCACCGGAGCAATAGCAACAACTGTAAACTTGTTCCTTATGTTGTTTTATTTATTACTTTTCTTAGCTCCCTCATCATTATCAGTGGTGGGCATGCACGTACTGAACTGAACAGGCTCACCTGCTCATTCATAAAGGTCTTATCTCTGTGTTTTCAATAAGTTTGACTGCGGATAATTGTACAATGTGTTCTGTCCTCATCTAACCCATTCTTCATCTATCTACTACACCATCAATCTTCTCGGTTGCTATATTTAATATGTTGATCTGTGATGAACCTACGACACGTCCAGCAAACGGGTAGGAAACTTTTTTGTTCAACTGATATGGCTCGAGAATTATGGAGGAAACTAAAGCGCTGTTAAGACCGAAAACACACATAACACATCAAACAACCGAACATCAAAAGCTACAATCAAAAGCAGAATTGAAATATTTAGTACTTGAAATGTTAGAGGACTAGAAAGAAAAAAAAAAAAACAACAACAACAAAGAACCAAAACTAAGTGAATTCATGAAGAAATCAAACATCCAGATATTAGAATTAGCTGACACGAGAAAAAAGGGACACAATACAAAACGAATACATGCAAATTATGTTAAAGCTTGTGTTGACCACAACCTTAAACATAATTTTCATGTATTCCAAATGGCATAAAATGGCTAACAAGAATTTCCATCCAATACAGCATGGGAAAAAAGTAAAGTTCCTCGTCACTGGCAGCAGGCATTGATAATTGGAAAAGGAGAGGTAAAACAAGAGACTGTGCATCGTACAGAGGGATATCACTCTAGAGCCACACAGGACAAATGTTTGCAAAATGACGACACTAAAACGTTAGACTTATAGCCGAACAACACTTAAGTACATCACAGTTTGGTTTCAGGAAATGAAAAGGTTGTGCAGCGATGGATTATTTACACTAAGACAAGTTTGCGAGAAAAACACTGATTGTGACGGTGAACTGAGTATTGTGTTTGTAGAGTAGATTGTATACCCGACTAGGACATCACACAAGCGATAAACACCCGATGACACAAAGTGCCACCATGCGGACGAGGATCACCCGTAAAGAGGTCCCAAACACCGCGTTCAGCCATTAGGGCCTATTTATGGCCGGGCTATATTACGGCCCCCGGCAAGAGCCAGGGTAGGGCTTCAAAACAACGAAAAATTGCATCTCGCAAGGAGATGTCTAGAATATATAGGATTATATTTGTGTTTCTTGATCACGAAAAAGCTTTCGACAGAGTAGATAGGAACAAACTATGGGCTATTCTTGAGGATTCTGGGATACAAGGACGGATGCTAGATAACATCTTGGCCATGTACCACACTTCCCAAAGTGCAGTGAGAACACAAGAAGGCATTTCTGATATGTTTACAATCAATGCAGGGTCAGGCTGGGATGTGTGCTGTATTTTCCCTTTTTTAAACTATATAAATAGACAGAATATCAATAGAAACCAGCTTTAAAGCTTCTACCCAGAAAATTCACATAATGAGGAACTTTATTTTCAGAGGAAGAATTAGATACACAAAGAATAAATGAGCTACTATTTGGAGACGATCAATGCCTGTTCTACAATGAGGGTTTAGATTTCAAGAACATTTGAACAGGCTAAGTTCAACATGCAGAAGATAGAACATGAAAATAAATACTACCAAAACGGAAGTAAGGCAGGTCAGCAGAATTCCTAGTCCGTCACATATCGTATTGAATTGTACCTGTCTGAAGCAAGTTAGAGAATTTAAATATCTAGGAAGTATATTCTCGAAGGACGGAAAAATAGATCGGGAAATAGAAACATGATGCCGAGCCAATGAATTTATATACCAACTGGCACCGTTATTAAGACATCCAAACATATGCATGAGCGCGAAGAAACAGATTATAAACAGCATATTAAAACCAACACTGTGCTACCAGTGCCAGACTTGGACATTATCAAAGACTAACATACGTAAAATTAACACACATGAAATGAGATGCCGATAAAGGCCACCAACTTAACCATCCGAGAGAAAGTTAGAAATGATATCAGACAGACTGCAGGAACAACGCCATGCAGCAAATTCATTAAGAGACTAAAGATGAAATGGTTTGGTCATTTAGTAAGAATGCGTCTAGAACAACTACCAATGCAGGCGCTACACGTGAATGTTCAATACTGAATGTTGAATTAGGAATCCACATCATAGCACTCGGGACACTTCCATAAGCGCTCCGTCCCCATCTTTAGCAGCAAACGATGAGTTTCAATTCCGATGGCACCAGTAACTGTCTGACTTTATATCCCTCTCGCCTTTCCCTTGAGTGTTGAGCGTCGGCCAGATCCCCTGGCAACTCATCGCCGCGCCTTTTTTTCGTCAGACCGTAATGATCTACAAGTATTTGCGCTTCCGCACTGTTCACACTCGCTCTCAGAGGCCCCTCACAACATCTAGATTGGCATACATCAGTTCACCACCAAGTGTCGCAGAACCGGCCAGTCTATCTGCCTAGTCATTTCCCAATACACCAGCATGACATAGTGGGAATAGCCGAAGGATGCTAACTATCCAGGGCCTATGAAGTGATGCTTGCCACTCTTCACCTATCATACATGTCTCTACATTTCTTAACATGCAATGTGAGTCAGTTTCAATCACGGCACGTGTGTATATCTGATTCTCGAGGCAGCTGAATGCAGCAGTGACTGCCTCCACCTCCATTCTCAAACTAGACGTTGTGATATCATTTGCCAGGCCGCTACACGTGAAAGGATCTGAAGTGAAAGCAAGAGGCCATCCTAGGAGAAAATGGATTGATGATATTAAAAAGCTTCTACATTGACAGGGAATGACAATAGCCGTTGCTGCCCATCAAGCGATGGATTGCAAACTTTTCCTTCCCACAACGCTTTTTGGAGCAGTGGAAAGTGATGAAATGAACTGATCTGTCGTCCAGCTCATTCTTAATCAGTCTATTACACGAACCCATCGATCTTCTCGGTTATCATATAATGTAGTCTGTTTGTCTACAACAAAGCGCAGTCAACACCGATTGTGCAGTTCAGGACTTTATTTTTGTCCCTGACAGACACACAAGTCCAATACAGTTTACCAAAGATTGGAACCAATGTCTCCAGAATGAGAGCCAAAAGGTAATGACCGCTCGGTCAGCTGCTCATTATCGTCCCATAAAGTAAGGCTGAGATTGCCGTTCAGAGCAAATTACTTTGTAACCCTATTTTATTCAATTGAAAAGGGATTATGGGATGTGCTCTTGATGGATTCTTTTCTGAATAGCGGTACTTCAAGTCACTGTGTGTTAATCTTTGCAGCTGCAAACCTAAAGGGTTCAAACCCCAACCCCTCCGCCCCCCCCCCAACCCCACGCCCCCAAAAAATTATAACTTCAACATCAGTTTTTATAATACACCCACTGTTTACCAACCAGGAAATTACACAGCCTGCGGACAAGACTACGATGTTCCAGCACTCAATGGTCATCTCGTCGACCCTCTAATTGTTACTCGAGCCAGCCTGTGGTCACTTAGTTTCAGACCCGGTGTCACTTGGACCCCCAAGACGCAGGACAACCTTGCAATTCTGGTTATCTGGGACCCAGGCAACTTCTTTAACCATGGGCTGTACATCAACTGTGTGAATGGCTCCATAGACACAGGGGAGGTAAGCAGACTAAGGTAGTGTATGTTCCTTGGTTAAGGGGTGGGGGTGAGGGGGTGGATTGAGGACCTCAACATTTGTTTGGGGAGATCTAAGTACTCGAGTCTCTAGGTTCCAGCAGCTTGTGATATTTTAGGTATATGATGCTATCATATTATATTTTTGTTTGATAAATCAGCAGTCGATTTGTATTAGGGATTTTTAAAAAATTATCACGTGGCATTATTTACAACTCAGATCAGTTCCTGGTCGACTGTAGAGTGCATTTCAAAACTAAAATATTCCCCGCATCGACTTCAATACAGACACGTAAACAACTGATCACATCAACGTTTAGGTGTGCATGTAACGTCTGTACTCACACTTTACATTGCCAAAGGGAAATATTTGTACTATTTATTAACTTTACTATTTGTTACAAATACGTCTCTCGAACTATATCTTGAACATAGCGATACGAAGGCTTCCTGCTGGCTTTTACCACTGATGCAAAAACTGTAAAGTATGAAAGATACCAGTTACTAGTACTAAGATTCTAGGTGTACGCGCATATTCTCAAAAACGAAGCGGCGAGGAGAAAAATACCACATGCTATCCTCTGCGGTGTAATCGTTTGCTGCCAATGCTTATACATGGGAATTAATCACGTCTCGCTGATGCCTCACACACCCTGCTTGTAACCCATGCAAGAGTACTCACTGTATCTATGTGTGAACAGGTTGTGACGCCCTATCTGGGACCCCTGAACCCACTCCTTAGAGTCAACACCTACATATTCGCTGTCTATGAACAAACGAACCGCATTGACATCAATGCTGCCAGGAGGTTCATTCCGAGTCGAGGTTCATGGCAGCCTGCCACGTTTATTGCCAACTTTACATCTCCGAACAACAGCTGTGAGTATATTTGCTTGTCTGTATGTCTGTATGTTTTTGTCATGTTGTGTCCAATGTCTGTATTTCATTGTCATGTTCGTACAATGTCTGTATGTCATTGCCATGGTGTGTACAATGTCTGTATGTCATTGTCATGTTGTGTACAATGTCTGTATGTCATTGTCATGTTGTGTACAATGTATGTATGCCATTGTCATGTTGTGCACAATATCTGTATGTCATTGTCATGTTGTGTAAAATGTCTGTATGTCATTGTCATGTTGAGTACAATATCTGTATGTCATTGTCATGTTGTGTACAATGTCTGTATGTCATTGTCATGTTGTGTAAAATGTCTGTATGTCATTATCATGTTGTGTACAATGTCTGTATGTCATTGTCATGTTGAGTACAATATCTGTATGTCATTATCATGTTGCGTACAATGTCTGTATGTCATTATCATGTTGTGTACAATGTCTGTATGTCATTGTCATGTTGTGTACAATGTCTGTATGTCATTGTCATGTTGAGTACAATATCTGTATGTCATTATCATGTTGTGTACAATGTCTGTATGTCATTGTCATGTTGTGTAAAATGTCTGTATGTTATTGTCATGTTGTGTACAATGTCTGTATGTCATTGTCATGTTGTGTAAAATGTCTGTATGTCATTGTCATGTTGTGTACAATGTCTGTATGTCATTATCATGTTGTGTAAAATGTCTGTATATCATTGTCATGTTGTGTACAATGTCTGTATGTTATTGTCATGTTCGTACAATATCTGTAGGTCATTGTCATGTTGTGTACAATGTCTGTATGTCATTATCATGTTGTGTAAAATGTCTGTATATCATTGTCATGTTGAGTACAATATCTGTATGTCATTGTCATGTTGTGTACAATGTATGTATGTCATTGTCATGTTGTGTAAAATGTCTGTATATCATTGTCATGTTGTGTACAATGTCTGTATGTCATTATCATGTTGTGTAAAATGTCTGTATATCATTGTCATGTTGTGTACGTCTGTATGTTATTGTCATGTTCGTACAAAATCTGTAGGTCATTGTCATGTTGTGTAAAATGTCTGTATGTCATTGTCATGTTGTGTACAATGTCTGTATGTCATTATCATGTTGTGTAAAATGTCTGTATGTCATTATCATGTTGTGTACAATGTCTGTATGTCATTATCATGTTGTGTAAAATGTCTGTATATCATTGGCATGTTGTGTACAATGTCTGTATGTCATTGTCATGTTGTGTACAATGTCTGTATGTCATTGTCACGTTGTGTACAATGTCTGTATGTTATTGTCATGTTGTGTACAATGTCTGTATGTCATTGTCATGTTGTGTACAATGTCTGTATGTCATTGTCATGTTGTGTACAATATCTGTATGTTATTGTCATGTTGTGTACAATATCTGTATGTCATTGTCATGTTGTGCACAATGTCTGTATGTTATTGTCATGTTGTGTACAATGTCTGTATTCATTATCATGTTGTGTAAAATGTCTGTATATCATTGTCATGTTGTGTACAATGTCTGTATGTCATTGTCATGTTGTGTACAATGTCTGTATGTCATTGTCACGTTGTGTACAATGTCTGTATGTTATTGTCATGTTGTGTACAATGTCTGTATGTCATTGTCATGTTGTGTACAATATCTGTATGTTAGTGTCATGTTGTGTACAATATCTGTATGTCATTGTCATTTTGTGTACAACGTCTGTATGTCATTGTCATGTTGTGTACAGTGTCTGCATATCATTGTCATGTTCGTACAATATCTGTAGGTCATTGTCATGTTGTGTAAAATGTCTGTATGTCATTGTCATGTTGTGTACAATGTCTTTATGTCATTATCATGTTGTGTAAAATGTCTGTATGTCATTATCATGTTGTGTACAATGTCTGTATGTCATTATCATGTTGTGTAAAATGTCTGTATATCATTGTCATGTTGTGTAAAATGTCTGTATGTCATTGTCATGTTGTGTAAAATGTCTGTATGTCATTGTCATGTTGTGTACAATGTCTGTATGTCATTGTCATGTTGTGTACAATGTCTGTATGTCATTGTCATGTTGTGTGCAATGTCTGTATGTCATTGTCATGTTGTGTACAATGTCTGTATGTCATTGTCATGTTGTGTACAGTGTCTGTATGTCATTGTCATGTTGTGTACAATGTCTGTATGTCATTGTCATGTTGTGTAAAATGTCTGTATGTCATTGTCATGTTGTGTACAATGTCTGTATGTCATTATCATGTTGTGTAAAATGTCTGTATGTCATTATCATGTTGTGTACAATGTCTGTATGTCATTATCATGTTGTGTAAAATGTCTGTATATCATTGGCATGTTGTGTACAATGTCTGTATGTCATTGTCATGTTGTGTACAATGTCTGTATGTCATTGTCACGTTGTGTACAATGTCTGTATGTTATTGTCATGTTGTGTACAATGTCTGTATGTCATTGTCATGTTGTGTACAATGTCTGTATGTCATTGTCATGTTGTGTACAATATCTGTATGTTATTGTCATGTTGTGTACAATATCTGTATGTCATTGTCATGTTGTGCACAATGTCTGTATGTTATTGTCATGTTGTGTACAATGTCTGTATGTCATTATCATGTTGTGTAAAATGTCTGTATATCATTGTCATGTTGTGTACAATGTCTGTATGTCATTGTCATGTTGTGTACAATGTCTGTATGTCATTGTCACGTTGTGTACAATGTCTGTATGTTATTGTCATGTTGTGTACAATGTCTGTATGTCATTGTCATGTTGTGTACAATATCTGTATGTTAGTGTCATGTTGTGTACAATATCTGTATGTCATTGTCATTTTGTGTACAACGTCTGTATGTCATTGTCATGTTGTGTACAGTGTCTGCATATCATTGTCATGTTCGTACAATATCTGTAGGTCATTGTCATGTTGTGTAAAATGTCTGTATGTCATTGTCATGTTGTGTACAATGTCTTTATGTCATTATCATGTTGTGTAAAATGTCTGTATGTCATTATCATGTTGTGTACAATGTCTGTATGTCATTATCATGTTGTGTAAAATGTCTGTATATCATTGTCATGTTGTGTAAAATGTCTGTATGTCATTGTCATGTTGTGTAAAATGTCTGTATGTCATTGTCATGTTGTGTACAATGTCTGTATGTCATTGTCATGTTGTGTACAATGTCTGTATGTCATTGTCATGTTGTGTGCAATGTCTGTATGTCATTGTCATGTTGTGTACAATGTCTGTATGTCATTGTCATGTTGTGTACAGTGTCTGTATGTCATTGTCATGTTGTGTACAATGTCTGTATGTCATTGTCATGTTGTGTACAATGTCTGTATGTCATTGTCATGTTGTGTACAGTGTCTGTATGTCATTGTCATGTTGTGTACAATGTATGTATTCAATTGCCAAGCTAGGTTGTATATCTGTATTCGTTTGTCACACTTTGTTTCCCATCATTCCTCCGTCAAGTTAGGCTATAAGCCTCTTCCTTTGTCACACAATGTCATGTCATATATCTGTATTCCTGTATCTAACAATTTAAGAGGTATGTATTCCTTTACCAAACTGTGTTGAATGTCTGTAGTCGGTTATCTCGTTATGTATTATGAAAAAAGACCCTTTTCCACGTCTTTAGGCGTATAGGGCATATAGGACTAGACTTATATTTGTATAGACCAACGGCACAAGATGGGTGATGTGGTCAGCATCACGCCGGCCGCCTCTACTTACCGGGACTGTACCCGGTACCCACTCAAGGCTGGGTCGGCCTGGGACGTTATGTAGTATGACTGTATTTTATTTTGATCATACTGTATCGTGTGTCTGTTTGTCATGTGTTGTGATCCAAGAGGTGTAATAAATCGTATGACCCGTCTGCTTGCAGATCCCACCCATGCTGGGGTCTTGACAATTTTGGCGGACCCATACTCGATACAGAAGATCTATGATCGATTCTACCTTGCTAACAACTGCCCCCGTCTGGTCTCACAGCTCGATGGTAGGTCACAAATGTCTGTCTGTTTGTCTATCTGTCTGTCTGTCTGTCTGTCTGTCTGTCTGTCTGTCTGTCTGCCTGCCTGTCTGTCTGTCTGTCTGTCTGTCTGTCTGTCTGTCTGTCTGTCTGTCTGTCTGTCTGTCTGTCTGTCTGTCTGTCTGTCTGTCTGTCTGTCTGTCTGTCTGTCTGTCTGTCTGTCTGTCTGTCTGTCTGTCTGTCTGTCTGTCTGTCTGTCTGTCTGTCTGTCAGTCTGTCTGTCTGTCTGTGGGTCTATTATGTAAATGTAAGATGTCTTATTACGATATTTGCAAGCATATTTTTACTCTCGCCACATTGATCTGGTGATCTGGTAATCGGGTAATCTTAGTTTCAGCTTCATAGCAAACAAGTCACCCCATAGTTGCTCCAATCCTGTGCCAACGAAAACCACCCAGAATGTTTTTCACAGTCTAAATAAAATCGACAGCTCACAGTGTCACGCCATGCACTCAACTCAGAAGCTGGGCAACGAAACTATATCCTTCCAGTCTACAAACAAAGCAAAAATGCAACGGCCACCGTCTGGCAGAAGCAATAACAACAACAACAAAATTGCCACGGCTATTAAAAAAGTGGCTGTGCCTAGCGTCCATTTTGACCTGAAGCAATATGTGAGGGTTAGTAAACGGTCACCCCCAGCAGTACCCTCACTATTAGCTGGGGAAGGGGCTTAGGACATTACATCCACCAGCAAGCGTCGCCCCTACAACGACCTGACTGTCTTCGTTAACGACTGTTCACCCAACAGCCATGCAGTTCTTTGGAACGAAGGAGACACCTTGAACTTGGGTTTCGGACTGCCGACTCCCTACAAGATGCTATATTATTTTATGTTATCACAATCGACGTCATTGCACATTGGACATTCCCATGCGTGCTCAGTCCTCCGATGCAGTAGCCACTCCAAAGTATTCTACTAATTGTTTCCATGAGAAGCTGGTTATATTGTCTTCTATCTCAGCCTCGAAGACGGCAAAGACGTGCTTCACCATCCTTTACTGCCATGTAACGCAATCGTGTTAGTGTCAGGGATTCCACATTTTCCACTAGCCCAGTCCGTACAGCGATGACAATATCTGCTCTGTCCATGCTTTTTTCCCCACAGTCCTTAGTGCAGTGCTTGCCAGTTAGTCCGCTCGCTCATTTCCCAAATTTAGAAAACATGATGACTATCTAACTAGAAGGACCTTTAATGGGAACCCACAGAAAAAAAAAAGAAAGATCGAGTATACCTGAAAACATGTGAAGGAGAGGGTTAGAAGCTGAGATAAACACTAAACAAAAAAGAAACTTATGAGCCGTAAGTAATGCAGCATAAGATGGCTTAGTGAAAATTACCCGAGTGCGATTTCTCTTAAGGAGAGTACAGAGCAGGAGACGAAATCGGTACTTAATTTATAACTTACCCCTGACGTCACGACAGCGTCACGGGAGACATTCCCAATAAATTCTAGTGTGTTCAGGGTGTAGTTTCTCGCGGTTTGTCTAACCCTAACCCTAAGACGCACCATAAGACGCACTATAAGACGCACCATAAGACACTAGATGAAAATTCATAAACAGCAGCACACAACAGCACACTTGCACCCCTTGAAATAATGGACTGTCAGGTCACCTGTGGAATTCCCCTGGGAATTTCGTGTTTGGTGTACGTTATAAATTAAGAACCACGAAATCTTCTGGAGAGCCTCCATGGTATAGCGGCTAGACACTGACCTGAGGATCCTAAATTCATGGGATTAAATCTGAATGCAGCCATAATTGTTTTTCTATAAAAATTACTAAATGGGTACCAGATAAAGTCCTAGGAAGTAAAGGTGTCCAGCGGGATGTTGACCATATTACTCACCTAATGCTGATTGGCCTGACTGGTCTATAAAATTATGTCTAGCACTAATTGTGAAATGCACATAAAAGCTCGGAGAGGGTCCTTTTACACTGTTATATCTGCTGGGAAAACTTGACATTTAATTCATGTCACATCTATCCCAGCATTCCACACTGTGATTAGAGTCAGCAACCTGACAGTTCCTTGGAGCGACAACACAACGACCACGTCCTTGTACAACAACGGCACTTATCTGACTAGCCTTACCACAAACATCGAAGTCCGATACTCCGCCGATGACTTCAGTGTGGAATCCTGCTGTTCCAACTACTCCCTGACGTACGTACTGCATTATTTAAAAATGTGTGTGTGTGTGAGAGAGAGAGAGAGAGAGAGAGAGAGAGAGAGAGAGAGAGAGAGAGAGAGAGAGAGAGAGATAGAGATAGAGAGAGACGCTTACACAAAGAAAACATGAAGGGGCCCAAGGGGGAGGATCATTGTCTCAGCCCTTCGTGGATAATGGGAAGAAAGGGGGTGGGGGGGGGGGGTGTCTCAGTAATTTAACAATAATACTAATAATAATAATTAGCTGAAAAAAATATATCATCATCATAATCATCAGGTGCCTTGCCGACTGGCGTGGGCGATCATGCCTCTCCAAAATCTGCGATCTCCTGCAGCATGTATCAGTTCGTGTGCCGACACACCTCCATGCCAACTGTTAAGCATCTTCTCTCGTTGTCTTCCACTATCTCTCCTTCCACAGATCTTTCCAGTGGTCACGACATGTTCTATTTTCCCTCTTCTCATAACATGGCCGAAAAATGATGACTGTCTCCTTCTGATGTCTGTGATAAGTTCTCTTCAGGCTCCCGCCTCTTTCAAAACCTCTTGGTTGCTCTTTTTGGCTGTCCAATGTTTTTTTAAGCATTCTTCTGTAAAACCACATTTCCGAGGCCTCCAGAAATTGTTTGGCCTGCCTACCGATTGTCCAGGATTCACAGCCATATGTTAAAACTGGATGTATGTAGCAAGCAAGAATTCTTTTTCTAACTCTCAATGACAAGGATATATTGCACAAGATGTTTTTCATTTTATAAAATGCAGTTTTTGCCTGTCCTATTATATTTCTTATCTCAGTTATGCATCTTCCATTTGATGTTATCCATGTGCCCAGATACTTAAATTTCTGTACTTGTCCTAAAATAACACCATCAACTTTTATTACACACTTAGGAATAATTCGTTTCTTTGATACCACCATTACTTCTGTCTTCTCATTATTCAAACTGAGGCGCATTCTTCCACTTTCTGACACCACAATGTCTATCATTTCCTGTAGTTCTTTCTGACTTGTTGCTATCAATACTGTGTCATCAGCATGACGTAAATTGTTTATATTGTGCCCACCAACCACAATTCCGGGCATACCAATTAAAGCTCTCATTATATATTCACTGTATATTGAAAACAAATTGAAAACAAATATATATATATATATATATATATATATATATATATATATATATATATATATATATATATATATATATATATATATATATATATATATATATATTAATATTTTTGCAACAGTGTTGAATATATAATCAAGCACTTAAAAAAAAGCATCATTTATGTGCATAATAATAATATTAAGCTGAATGTCAAATAAATGTAATATTTTAAACAATAGGAAATTTAAAAACACTCAAAATGAACATAGGCCTTGTTTGAGTGCGTGATAATAATCATGCGTTGAGTGTACAATAAATATATCAATGTATTTGAAACAATGTGAAATACTCGTATATAAAGAAACACACACACAAATCGAAGCCTTGTTTAGGTGCATGATAATTATAATAAAAATGTGCTGAATATCTCCTATCTGGACCTCGAAGACGCACTGACATGCTTCAACAGGCTTCACATCAAGACCATGTAATCGTATTAGCGTCAGACATTCGTCATTATCTGCATATTTTGTTTGTCCTAAATGTTGCCTGTTTTTACTTACAGGCGTGGGTCAACCCTTGTCAACCCGTTTAGCAGCCGTACTCTCAGACCTGGCAATGTCAGGGTCAAACCGGTGGTTCAGTTGACGCCCATGAAAATTGGAACGTCGGAGGGAATAGCAGGTAGGTTGCTTCATTTTACAAAATAAAGAATATCTATCTTTGTCAACTGAGACGAGAAAGAGAATTCTTAAAAGTTTTGTAAATCCTATATTGATATACGGAAGTGAATCACGGACAGTTGTTACATTAGTGAAAACTTATTTAGAAGCTGCGGAGATGTGGTTTAATAGACGATTGATGAGAAAGCTCTGGACAGATAAAAAGAGGAATGAAGTCGTCTCGAAAGAAACTAACTCACAAAGAGAACTGATTGCCCACATCCGGGGGAAAAAAAACAATTCTATATTTATTGGTCAGGTAATTAGAAGGAAAAAAACTGGAGTACATCATGACCGTAGGAAATTTGGAGGGGAGAAGAAGCACAGGGAGACGGAGAGAACGGATGCTGGACAGTCTGTGATCATGGCATAAAGGAACATCTGTCTCAAGAGTTGACTGAAAGTACACGAGACAGAAGATTGTGGATAGAGATGACTACCAACGCCACACGGCATGGAATTTAAAGAAAAAGATCTTCATTAGTTTGCGTGGAGTTCACCAGTGAAAGTAAAGGCAAAATAACTCTTTTCATGCCAATGTAGCCTCGGCAGATGGTGCTAGTACAATATTGTTAGTAACGCTGTCACCCATCTACTGATTGGCTTGCATTGCACAGCACTGTGAGCCGATGGATTACCTTCAGAATGCCTTCCGATTGTGTCCAGCGTAGTGTTGCTGTTTCTGTTGTTGTGTGTGTTTAACTGCAGATTTGAAAAAATGACAAGTAGTCTATTACCCAAAAATGGTGGTGCCTTGTGCGATTATTGGTGTGTGCAACTACTGATCTGTTGTAACTGCTGCTTCCATCCACAATGAACAGGATTTATAGTACCGGACTGTGTGTGTTAGCACTTCTGGCGGTGGATTGTGCATTCACTTGCATGTGTATGCTATTGGCTTTGCTGAGACTGCAGTCTGAATCATGTTTCTACAAGTGACCAGCAATGGGCATTCTGCGTGTGGTTGGGTTTTCATTGGCACAGCAACGGAGCAACGGTAGCATCACCCCTTTCTAATGAAGCTGGAACTGTGATTACCTGATCACCTATTATCGACCAATCAGCACAAGGTGAAGGATGAGATCAACACCAGTCGGTTGCGTTTACTTACCAGGACATTTCCCATTGCCCACTTTAAGAAAGGCCCACGGAAAAATTGGGACATAAAAGAGAAGTTCCCTGTAGAAGTTCCCTGTAGAAGTTCACTGTAGAAGTTCTCTGTAGAAGTTCCCTGTAGAAGTTCACTGTAGAAGTTCCCTGTAGAAGTTCCCTGTGTGCGTCACGCGGTAAAAGGAATAGACCCATTACCCAACATTCTTCGTTAAGGGCAAAAATTATGAATTTTCTGAAGTCGGATTCATTCGGTGGAAATGCGCAAATATCACAAGCTAGCTGTAAACAGCACAATGTGTCAGCCACTGTTTCAAGGCAAACGCAGAAGGAAAAATATAGTTTTTGACACAGTGAGACCTGACAGTCAAAGTTAGACTTCACAGTGACAGTGAGGCCCGACAGTCATAGTTACACCTGAAAGTTAAAGTTAGACCTGACAGTCACAGTTAGACCTGACAGTCACAGTTAGACCTGACAGTCACAGTTAGACCTGACAGTCACAGTGAGACCTGACAGTCACAGTTAGACTTGACAGTTAAAGTTAGACCTGACAGTCACAGTTAGACCTGACAGTTACAGTTAGACCCGACAGTCACAGTTAGACCTGACAGTCACAGTTAGACCTGACAGTCACAGTTAGACCTGACAGTCACAGTTAGACTTGACAGTCACAGTTAGACCTGACAGTCATAGTTAGACCTGGCAGTCACGGTTACACCTGACAGTCACAGTTAGACCTGACAGTTACAGTTAGACCTGACAGTCACAGTTAGACCTGACAGTCACAGTGAGACCTGACAATCACAGTTAGACCTGACAGTCACAGTTAGACTTGACAGTCACAGTTATACCTGACATTCACAGTGAGACCTGACAGTCACAGTTAGACCTGACAGTCACAGTTAGACCTGACAGTCACAGTTATACCTGACAGTCACAGTGAGACCTGACAGTCACAGTTAGACCTGACAGTCACAGTTAGACCTGACAGTCACAGTTAGACTTGACAGTCACAGCGAGACCTGACAGTCACAGTTAGACCTGACAGTCACAGTTAGACCTGACCGTCACAGTTAGACCTGACAGTCACAGTTATACCTGACAGTCACAGTGAGACCTGACAGTCACAGTTAGACCTGACAGTCACAGTTAGACTTGACAGTCACAGTTATACCTGACATTCACATTGAGACCTGACAGTCACAGTTAGACCTGACAGTCACAGCGAGACCTGACAGTCACAGTGAGACCTGACAGTCACAGTGAGACCTGACAGTCACAGTTAGACCTGACAGTCACAGTTAGACCTGACAGTCACAGTTAGACTTGACAGTCACAGCGAGACCTGACAGTCACAGTTAGACCTGACAGTCACAGTTAGACCTGACAGTCACAGTTAGACCTGACAGTCACAGTTAGACCTGACAGTCACAGTTAGACCTGCCAGTCACAGTTAGACCTTACAGTCACAATTAGTCTTGACAGTCACAGTTAGACCTGACAGTCACAGTTAGACCTGACAGTCACAGTGAGACATGACAGTCACAGTTAGACCTGACAGTCACAGTTAGACCTTACAGTCACAGTTAGACCTTACAGTCACAATTAGTCTTGACAGTCACAGTGAGACCTGACAGTCACAGCGAGACCTGACAGTCACAGTTAGACCTGACAGTCACAGTTAGACCTGACAGTCACAGTTAGACCTGACAGTCACAGTTAGACCTTACAGTCACAGTTAGTCTTGACAGTCACAGTGAGACCTGACAGTCACAGCGAGACCTGACAGTCACAGTGAGACCTGACAGTCACAGTTAGACCTGACAGTCACAGTTAGACCTTACAGTCACAGTTAGACCTGACAGTCACAGTTAGACCTGACAGTCACAGCGAGACCTGACAGTCACAGTTAGACTTGACAGTCACAGTTAGACTTGACAGTCACAGCGAGACCTGACAATCACAGTGAGACCTGACAGTCACAGTTAGACTTGACAGTCATCACTGACAAGAATACTTGATTATTTGTCATGTTTTACAAAGACTTCAGCGTGAAAAGAATTCTTCGTCTTTTTTGTTTCCCTTTAAAAATACGAAATGTCTTCATCTTCTGCTCTTTCGCGTATACCAGCTGTAAACTCTGGCAAAAAGTTATGGTTGTTTGTCCACATTTGGACTTTTTCCTAATCAAGAACAAAGTTTTTCACAGATCTGGCAGATTATGTTGGCGATAACAGGTTTGGTGAAAACAGGGCAATTGATGACAAACTGATAATAACGATGATGTTTTCGGTGACGCTAATAATAATTATATCGATTATAGTGTTGATGTTGATTACAATATCAGTAATGCTAGTATAATGAATATTTATTCTCACCTGCAACGTTTTCGCTCACACAGGTGATACATACACGCTGTTTTTGGTAGACGTGGCTGCAGCCTTGGCCCCAGGAGCCCTGAATCCCGTTTATGTCACTCACTGGCTCGTTACCAATATCAGAAATGCAGACGTCGTGAGAGGAGATGAGGTGGCCCCTTACTTTGGCCCTAATCCTTTCAGTCCGTAAGTATTCATCATTGCGAGTCATTCTTTTATCTTGGGTCAGTATCTGCCTTGTGCATAATGCTCGCAGATTCGTACACAAGCTAGAGCACACTCGGCAAGCTTAGTATACTGTGATGTTATGAAAGTCTTGGACTATTAGTAACTCCTTTAGGCCATCTTCTTGTAAGTCTCCCCCTGTACGACAATGATGTACACTGTTGCTGCCTGCATTGTTGGATTCATTCTCACTGGGTGACTGAACCGTGGCCATTGTTGCTTTACTCCTGATCTGTTTTCTCCTTACACGCTCTCTCGTTAAATAAATTTATAAAAATACCACAATAATTTGACCTTGGCTCCCAGGTCGACCCAGCCTTGAGTGGGTACCGGGTGCAGTCCGGGAAAAGTAAAGGCGGCCGGCGTGATGCTGACCACATCACACATCTTGTGCCGATTGGTCTATAAAATATAGGTCTAGCCCTACATGCCCTACATGCCCTATATGCCCTATACGCCTAAAGGCGTGGAAAAGGGTCCTTTACTTTACTTTTTACCTACCACAATAATTTGAGTATAAATTTTCTGTAATGGTTCACTTAAATTAGCATAGAAAAATATGCTAGCCTAGTTTTTCTGTTGACCTCTCCTCTTCTCCGCCGTTCCCCCTTCCCCATCCCATCTCAACCTACTGGCAGCAATATTTCCGATATATCATTAAAAAAATCGATAACATGTGCACATTTTTCAGAGAGAAAACTGGTTGTTTGCAGTTAGTTAATCATAAACTATAATGCCACAAGTGGGTCATATTTTGCATCAATAACCATTTGGCAAAAATTAAAATCTTAGTACGCCTTCTTCTGATTGATTTCATTCCTCTCTGCTGTGGCTGAAAGTTTGATAGAATATAATGTCCGTTGGATGTTTGTGTAACAGGGTAGAATTTGGGTTCTTTATTAATATCCTACCCCAGTCTACGTCACAGAACAGTCCTTCATTTTAGAGGGTGGTAAGACTGGGTTTCCCGGCTTTCTGATGCTTTTAACGACCCCAAAACATTTAGAACTGACCCTAACCCTAACCCACCTACTTCCTACGAGAGAGTGCAGCCTAGGTCCCACGACTGCATGCAGCCTTTCTACCACGCCCTGAAATATTAGACTGTCCCATGACCTGTGCATTCCCCTGTTTGGGGTAGGATATAAATAAAGCACCGACTTATGTACATCGTTCAGGCTCATAGTCAGTTTTCAGAGGTAACCCATAATGGCAAAAGGTAGAGTGGTTTCTCTTTATGAGACCCCACTCCGAGATGTGAAGTCATGCACCTATCTGTGCAGTAGTGTAGATAAAGATCGGAAAACTGACAGAGATATTAAAATACGAAATCAAAAGACATGAGGAGCTTTCATAGCACTAGGAAAGTTATAGAGGTCAAATAAAATTAAAACTAATAATACATTAAACATTTTCAGTTATTATGTCAAATTAGTACTGTAGTATGGAGCGGTAACATAGAGAACAACTAAAACAGTTACTTATAAAGTACAAACATTAATTAACTGGTGCCTGCGCAGAATAGTGGGAATTAAATGGTATGATAAAATCACTAATGTTGAGCATTGGCGGAGAACTAAACAAGTCACAATAGACAAAGAGATGAAGAAAAGACAATGGCGTTGGTTAGAACACACTTTGGAAAAAAGACCTTTTCCCACACCTTTTAGCATATTGAGCATATAGAGCTGCACCGGTATCTTTAAAGACCAATCGGCACGAGGGGGGGGGGGGTAATTTGGTCAGCATCACATTGGCCGCTTTCACTTCCCAGGACTGTACTTGATACCCAATCGAGGCTGGGATTACCTGAGAGCCAAGGTCATTTTTGATAAAAACTCCGACGTCATGATCTGAACCCACGAAATCCTGATTCGCCGGCAAGCGTCTAGCCGCTACACCACGACGGATCCCGAAACACGCTGGGAAAGCCTGGAAACAGCATAACTAGAAGGTCTCTGCACTGGAACCCACAGTGGCATAGAATTATAGAAAGACAGAAGCGTCAAAAAAAAAAACACACACACACGGAGAAAGAAGTTGGAGAGTGAAGTTAAAACGATGGGGTGGACGTGAGGGGAGCTGAATGCATTAGCGTAGGATAAAACGACTTTAGGATTGAGTTGTTTGAAGACCTATGCTCCATTGGGGGATAGAAGGCAGAAGAAGAACACCCGTAATGACAACATGAAGTCTTTTTGCCTTTTGTATTCTTTTTTTAAATATCTCCATCAGTTCCTCCATCTTTATCTACATTACTGCCTAAATAGGTGTACGACTTCACTATCCTAGACAAGAAGCGAATTTCTGCCTCTTAACTGACTGAATGTCTTTAATTTCATGGCCGTTACTTAACATTTTGACACCCATGTGACCAGCTAAGCCGTACCTTGGATGTCAGTCCAAAATAACACATCCCAGATACCAAGTTCAATCTTCTTAATAGTTATAATTAGGCCATCTGGGATACATACACCAGTTACTACTGTCCTAGGCTTGTGTATTATTGATGCTGTAAGAATCATCTGAGTGTTGACAAGTAAAGTTACACATTCAAATGTATAATAATAATGATTATGACAGTCGTTACGGAAGAAAGAGGGGATTTTCTGGAAACATTATGAGTACCATGGATAAAGAAGACAGGAAATACTAACATCCCAACAGATTTGAATATCAGAAACAATTTGCCTGTAAAGAACATCTTGTCTCGGAAGTTAAAATATGTCTTCCATATCAAACGAAACGGCAGATTACAACAACAACAAAATAACCGAAGATATGGTGCCAAGAGGGGCAGGGACGGACCAACACGAAGACGGGCATTGATATAAGTGACTCCTTTAATGTGAAAGTGCACGATAGAGATGAGAGCGACGTTCTGCAAAGGACCTGCTATATGATGGTGATGACTAGTAATGAAATTACCAGTAACGCAATATCTGTGTTTACAAACTCTTTCCCGCTTTTCCACACAGCAACGAAAGTCGTCCCTACATGTTTCTGCTGTTCCGGCAACCAGTGCCGATGCTCAACAACACAGTCTTCTCCACGTTTTGCCCTAATGGAACCCTGAGGTGAGTGTCCAGTGTGTTCTGTCTGAACCAGTGGAAAGTTGAGCTGTGTGTTCTGTGTGTCCATGTGTTATCCTAATGGAACCATGAGGTGAGTGTCCAGTGTGTTCTGTCTGAACCAGTGGAACCTTGAGCTGTGTGTTCTGTGTGTCCATGTGTTATCCTAATGGAACCATGAGGTGAGTGTCCAGTGTGTTCTGTCTGAACCAGTGGAACCTTGAGCTGTGTGTTCTGTGTGTCCATGTGTTATCCTAATGGAACCCTGAGGTGAGTGTCCAGTGTGCTCTGTCTGAACCAGTGGAACCTTGAGCTGTGTGTTCTGTGTGTCCATGTGTTATCCTAATGGAACCATGAGGTGAGTGTCCAGTGTGCTCTGTCTGAACCAGTGGAAAGTTGAGCTGTGTGTTCTGTGTGTCCATGTGTTATCCTAATGGAACCCTGAGGTGAGTGTCCAGTGTGCTCTGTTTGAACCAGTGGAACCTTGAGCTGTGTGTTCTGTGTGTCTATGTGTTATCCTAATGGAACCCTGAGGTGAGTGTCCAGTGTGTTCTGTTTGAACCAGTGGAACCTTGAGCTGTGTGTTCTATGTGTTCATGTTTTGCCCTAATGGAACCTTGGGGTGAGTGTCCAGTGTGTTCTGTTTGAACCAGTGGAACCTTGAGCTGTGTGTTCTATGTGTTCATGTTTTGTCCTAATGGAACCCTGAGGTGAGTGTCCAGTGTGCTCTGTCTGAACCAGTGGAACCTTGAGCTGTGTGTTCTGTGTGTCTATGTGTTATCCTAATGGAACCATGAGGTGAGTGTCCAGTGTGTTCTGTCTGAACCGGTGGAACCTTGAGCTGTGTGTTCTATGTGTTCATGTTTTGTCCTAATGGAACCATGAGGTGAGTGTCCAGTGTGCTCTGTTTCAACCAGTGGAACCTTGAGCTGTGTGTTCTGTGTGTCCATGTGTTATCCTAATGGAACCATGAGGTGAGTGTCCAGTGTGCTCTGTCTGAACCAGTGGAACCTTGAGCTGTGTGTCTTGTGTGTCCATGTGTTATCCTAATGGAACCATGAGGTGAGTGTCCAGTGTGCTCTCTCTGAACCAGTGGAACCTTGAGCTGTGTGTTCTGTGTGTCCGTGTGTTATCCTAATGGAACCATGAGGTGAGTGTGCAGTGTGCTCTGTCTGAACCAGTGGAACCTTGAGCTGTGTGTTCTGTGTGTCCGTGTGTTATCCTAATGGAACCCTGAGGTGAGTGTCCAGTGTGCTCTGTCTGAACCAGTGGAACCTTGAGCTGTGTGTTCTGTGTGTCCATGTGTTATCCTAATGGAACCCTGAGGTGAGTGTCCAGTGTGCTCTGTCTGAACCAGTGGAACCTTGAGCTGTGTGTTCTGTGTGTCCATGTGTTATCCTAATGGAACCCTGAGGTGAGTGTCCAGTGTGCTCTGTCTGAACCAGTGGAACCTTGAGCTCTGTGTTCTATGTGTCCATGTGTTATCCTAATGGAACCCTGAGGTGAGTGTCCAGTGTGCTCTGTCTGAACCAGTGGAACCTTTAGCTCTGTGTTCTATGTGTCTATGTGTTATCCTAATGGAACCATGAGGTGAGTGTCCAGAATGTTCTCTATGAACTTTTCGTCAAAATTGAGCCATGTGCTATGTTTTCTCAGTGTCTATGTTTTGTCACATTGAAACGACTCAGCAAATACTTTTTATTTTCATGATTTGTCACAGTGGAACCGTGAGCTGTAAGCTGAGTGTTATGTGTGTTTATGTTTTTTTCCCATGGAACCATGAGCTGAGTAAACTGTTTTTATGTTTTGTCTCATAGAAGCATGCACTGGATAAACTGTATGTTTATGTTTTGTCCCATGGAAACATGAGCTGAATATACTGTGTGTTTATAATTTGTCCAGTGGAACCAGGAGTTAAAAAAACTGTGTTCATGTTTTGTCCCATGGAACCATGAGCTGAAGAAACTGTGTGTTTATGTTTTGTCCCATGGAACCATGAGCTGAAAAAAAAACTTTGTGTTTATGTTTTGTCCAGTGGAACTGTGAGCTGAGTAAACTGTGTGTTCATTGTTTGTCATAGTGAACCACGAGGTGAGTGGTATGTAAGTTCATCTCCTGTCCTATGCAACCATTGGGGGGAGGGGGATGGGAGGGGGAAATTCAAAATTGTATTGACATGAAAGAATGTGAAAAGGAAAAGATCATATCTATTAAAAAAAATTTAAAAAAACGTTATCTCTCCTATCGCAGGTGTCGTACACAGCTGAAGCCTGTTCTTGATGCCTGGAACCTGACAGAACTTGTTGGAGTCACCTGGTTCTTAGCTGAACAAGATGCTTTCGCTAGATATGTAAGAGGTTTTAGAGTGTTTGTCACCTGAGTAAATTGATCGTCTCTTAGCATTACCCATGTTAGTATGTTAAATAACCATTAGATATAGTCAACCTAATAGAACAATTATTTCTGGGCATTCGATTTGTGCATACAGTAGTCATCAACAATTTAGAAAAAGCAGAAGAAATGGTGGAAACAGGTGTTATAAAGTACAGCCTATCTCAAATCTATTATTTGTTAGTGGGAAATCCAGGTTCCAAAAACACTTCACAAACGGGTGGCCTCATAATTGCTCTCCTCCTGTGTCAGTGGGAATTCATTCGCGGTCCCATTTGAACACAGGTGAAAAACTTGTCACATCAAGATTTTGAAGCTCGCACATGCAAAGAAGAAATACAAAAATCAGTTCTTAGACGTGCTAACACTAGCGGTCCCACGCCAGAATTGCCACTCAGTGTTGGCGCAAATTGTCACTTACAAACGTAATGGCAATTCTGAACGTGTTCGGCCATTTTGGCGCAGCCCAACTACTCGCCGTGGGAACAATAATAATAATTTAAAAAAAAAATCACATGAAAACCGAGGTTAACTTCCCCACAGTCTCAGCTCCCCATCTAGGTAATATAAACTTTGGACTCCCGGTCCCGCATCGGGAAAAAACTAGCTTGAAACAAAAAACTTGTTAAAGCCTCCGCTGTCGTCGCTATGCATTTCTAAGTGTCAGTTCACAACATTTACAGTAACTGAAGTCCTTATCTTTGTTGCCTCTTTTAAACTACAATGACACCCCCAATTTGTCCGGAAATCCTGTCAGAAACATTGAGAAGCAAAAGGTCAAAGATTGTATGCATCTTGTTACACCAGTCACAAAAACAACTCTTGCATCTAAGAAAATATAATAGAAAGCAACAGGACGCCCAGGAGTTTATTAAAAACTGTGCATTAAAACAGAATGACAATAGCCATTTCCACCCATCAGGCATTCGACTATTGACTAAGTGGCGACGCGTGCATGTAACAACACACTTCTTCTTCTTCATTTTTAATTACTATTTATTACAAATACGCCACTTGGCTTACGTATTGAACATAGTGAAAACAGCGTCAGGTTCATAGTTAATCCTTTAGTTACGCCACTCATGCAGACATTGTGATGTGCCAAAGCTTCTGGTTACTAGTATTGCAATGCTAGCTGCACACGCACAACCTCAACAGCGAAGTGACGAGGTGGAAAATATCATGTGATATTGTCCACTGTGTAATCATAGCATATAAGCGCTTAGCTTACATCTGCGAATTGATAACGCATCAATACTGCATTAGGTGTGGTTTATAGGCTTTTCCAATCTTGTAATTGAAAGTTTCTTCACAATGATGATGGTGAAGACGAAAATAAATGCCTTGTTTCCTCTACAGCGACTCTACAGCCTCCTGAATGTGGCCAAGGATACCGCTTGCAAGGGTGTGCCCGGATATGCGGATCCCTGCCCTCAAACCTGCCCAGGAAAATCCAACAACGGAGCATCCCATAGGACGGGCTATTTCTTCACTGTATTCTTATTTTTTGGACTTGTGATTTATTATTATATTCTTATTTAAGTTTCCGTTAAATTGAATATGTATCTGTATCATTGTCATCACATCCTTCTTCTTCTTCTTCTTCTTCTTCTTCTTCTTATGATGCTTCCACACATATAAGTATTCTCCCTTCATTTACTGAATGTGTTTTAGCATTCCTTTCCTTTACTTATGTGTTGTGGCACTCCCTTCCTTTAGGTATGTGTTGTAGCTCTCTCTCTCTCTCTCTCTCTCTCTCTCTCTCTCTCTCTCTCTCTCTCTCTCTCTCTCTTTACTTATGTGTTGAAACACTCGCTTATCTCACAAAGGTGTATGTTGTAACATTCCCTCCCTTTACTAAAGTATTGTAGCATTAGTTTCTTGGTAAAGATGGGTGTTGTAAAACTGGTTTTCTTGGTAAAGATGGGTGTTGTAACATTGGTTTTCTTAATAAAGATTGGTGTTATAACACTGGTTTTCTTGGTAAAGATTGGTGTTATAACACTGGTTTTCTTAGTAAAGATGGGTGTTGTAACATTGGTTTTCTTGGTAAAGATGGGTGTTTTAACAATGGTTTTCTTGGTAAAGATGGGTGTTATAACATTGGTATGCTTGGTAAAGATTGGTGTTATAACACTGGTTTTCTTGGTAAAGATGGGTGTTGTAACAATGGATTTCTTGGTAAAGATGGGTGTTATAACACTGGTTTTCTTAGTAAAGATTGGTGTTAAAACACTGGTTTTCTTGGTAAAGATGGGTGTTGTAACATTGGTTTTCTTGGTAAAGATGGTTGTTGTAACATTGGTTTTCTTGTTAGAGATGGGTGTTATAACATTGGTTTTCTTGGTAAAGATTGGTGTTATAACACTGGTTTTCTTGGTAAAGATGGGTGTTATAACACTGGTTTTCTTGGTAAAGTTTGGTGTTATAACACTGGTTTTCTTAGTAAAGATGGGTGTTGTAACATTGGTTTTCTTGTTAAAGATGGGTGTTATAACATTGGTTTTCTTGTTAAAGATGGGTGTTATAACATTGGTTTTCTTGGTAAAGATTGGTGTTATAACACTGGTTTTCTTGGTAAAGATGGGTGTTATAACACTGGTTTTCTTGGTAAAGTTTGGTGTTATAACACTGGTTTTCTTAGTAAAGATGGGTGTTGTAACACTGGTTTTCTTGGTAAAGATTGGTGTTATAACACTGGTTTTCTTGGTAAAGATTGGTGTTATAACACTGGTTTTCTTGGTAAAGATTGGTGTTATAACACTGGTTTTCTTGGTAAAGATTGGTGTTATAACACTGGTTTTCTTGGTAAAGATTGGTGTTATAACACTGGTTTTCTTGGTAAAGATTGGTGTTATAACACTGGTTTTCTTGGTAAAGATTGGTGTTATAACACTGGTTTTCTTGGTAAAGATGGGTGTTGTAACAGCCTTCTTCTAACAAGATGAGTGTTGTGACAATCCCTCGGTGCCCCAAGGTGTACGTTGTAGCAGTTTCATTCTTTTGCGTTCGCCTTTAAAAGGGCGCTTCACACATTGTGTTGCGGTTTACAGATGGGCTGTGATGTGTGCGTCTTTCGAATCCAAACACCTAATTTCGTTCATTGGTTGCCTTTTACCACACTCTTGTAGGGGACAGTGAGTCTACACCCCCTTCCCTACCCTAAAGTGGTGATAGAAACTCTTACAGAAAATTAACGGTTTAACACAAGATCACGAAACAAAACCAGACGTATCAAGGAGAAGCAGATATTTGTGGAGCACATCAATCAATCAATACAGAAGAGAAATCAACCTTTTTTTTTAATTTTTAGAAAAAAGAAAAGAAAAAAAGAAGTCTTTTCTGTTCGATGGCTTTTAGTGTGCAGACTGTTGGTTCCCACATGTCTATGTTTGTGTGTGTGTCTGTGTGTGTGTGTGTGTGTGTGTGTGAGAGAGAGAGAGAGAGAGAGAGAGAGAGAGAGAGAGAGAGAGAGAGAGAGAGAGAGAGAGAGAGAGAGAGAGAGAGTTTGTGTCATTTTTAAGTGCCTTCTTGATCACTTTGTAATTGTCAAGGCAACAATAATGCGACAGTTATTTCCCGCTGGGGGCAACAACAGATATTAAATAAAAGGAAACAATTAAGAATTATACCTTTAAGGGAACTAGCTCGTAACAAAATATGTCACATCTTTCTTTCCAATATTATGAACCGATGAATAAACAATGCACGAACAAGTTTATTAAATATCACTTTCAAGACGTCGCCAATGAACGAAATTGGGCAGCAGTATTTGGTAGCATTATTGAACATAGATCTGAAATAAATTATTAAACTCTCTCAGTTCATTAAACCTTTGATTCTTTGCTACATTAAAAATCTTACTAATCATGACTGTATATATCGTAGCTTTTAACAACTTGTCACCCTATGGTGGGATTCAATTTTTCTGTATTCTACCCTACTCTTGCCAGAGGCCGCAATATAGCCCGGCCATAAATATGGTCTAATGGCTAAACGCGGTTTCTGGGACCTCTCCACGGGTGATCCTCATCCACACGGTGGCACTTTGTGTCATCGGGTGTTTATCGCTTGTGTGATGACCTAGTGGTGTAAAATGTACTACTTCTATTAAATGGAAGCAATTTCTTAACATCCTTCAGGCGGATCCTTTAGCTTGTATATTGTTGTGCAGGCAATTACACAAATGGAGTTCAATTTCACTTTACCATAAAAGTAGAATCTCACGATGTAGGTGCCCAGTTTTACAGTTTTCTAGTCGTGACTTTCAGATGTATTCGGCACAACTCGTTATTTGAATTACTATGTAATTATTACAATCCTTGGTTGTGTACAGAAACAAAACAAGGTGTTGGTGCTTGCAACAGAATGCAAAACAGGTGCCGACACAAACCACAAAGTGTCTACTATAGCAGTGCTAAACTAAAATGATACCAGCACCACTACCGTCAGAAAAAAAAAGCCCTGATTCAGATCAACGTATACTTGCAGTTTAGTTCTCTTTCAGGACATGTTTCTAGAAGAGACGTCAACTCGGAGATAAGCTACTGTTCATGTATGAATCTGTATCCTCGTGCAAGCATCACTTCAGAGGTCCCTGGTAGTTAGCATCCTTTGGATATTTTTTCCTGGTTATGCCGGTGTGTGCCGGGAAATGAGCAGGCAGATTGACTGGCTGGTTCTGCACCGCTTAGTGGTGAACTGATGTATGACATGTTGGATGTTGTGAGGGAACTTTGGGAGCGAGTGAACAGTGCGGAGGCACAGACAGATCATTACGGTCTGAGGATAATGGCGCTGCAAGGGGTTACGGGTTGGGGAGGGGGGGTGTCGCCGCTCAACACTTGAGGGGAAAGGCGAGAGGAATATACAGACAGTTACTGGTGCCACTTGAATTTGAATTCTTCGCTTGCTGCTGAAGATGGGGACAAAGCGCTTATGGTGGTGTCCCGAGTGCTGTAATGTCGATTATTATTTTAGCATTAAACTTCTGTATCATTGTTTGTTTTGTTATGTTCTGTTTGTCGCTAATGACTGGAATAACGTCAAACTGGCTAGTTTTGCATGCACTTTACAACTCATCTTTTATAATATTCATAATATTCATAATATGCATGTCATCATATGATCATAACATGCTTTATTAGTAAAATACAACTTCTGCGAAAGATGGTTGACTGGAAGGGCCGAATGTAAGACGTGCCTGCGTGCCCAATATGTGACCCTTGGACAATAAAGTTCGTTCGTTCGTTCTCGTTTTCATGGTGCACTATAGTGATCATCACCGCGTTGCAAAGTTGTGTCTTCAGTGTCCTAGCTGTTGTCTGGGGTGTTGTGGTGTTTCTTACACAGATGACGAGTTTACTCACACAGATGACGAGTTTACTCACACAGATGACGAGTTTACTCACACAGATGACGAGTTTACTCACACAGATGACGAGTTTACTCACACAGATGACGAGTTTACTCACACAGATGACGAGTTTACTCACACAGATGACGAGTTTACTCACACAGATGACGAGTTTACTCACACAGATGACGAGTTTACTCACACAGATGACGAGTTTACTCACACAGATGACGAGTTTACTCACACAGATGACGAGTTTACTCACACAGATGACGAGTTTACTCACACAGATGACGAGTTTACTCACACAGATGACGAGTTTACTCACACAGATGACGAGTTTACTCACACAGATGACGAGTTTACTCACACAGATGGTAATGAAGAGAAGTCTTGCAGTTGATAACGTTTAATCAATTCAAGAGACAACCTGTTCCGGTCACTGTCTGCTACTTTCTAGCATGGCCAAAGATTCAGAGAAATGCTGTTATACCAGACATATCAGATGTTCACGCTCGTTACCGTGCAATCTTGATGTTACATGCACGTCACACACACAGGCGCCCAGCAGGGATCTCTGACAGCTGGCAGTTAAATTTCAACTTTAGGCTGGGTGTCGACTTGATTACCCTCTGGCTAGGCGTCATCTCGTAGGTTCAAACCTTCCTCTATCTTCAATTATACCATGGCACATTCGCACTCCTCTCAAACACAACCTTTCACTCGGGCTGCAAAATACCTTTCTCCTTCTTCTTCTTCTGCGTTAGACATCAGTCATGCTAAACATTGAGTCCCGTCTGGGTCACAAATAGGATTGTGCGTTTAAGGTCGCCACCGGTCCCCCATAGCTCCTCTTGCAATGTGGCTCCCCTGGGCCAGATTCACAGTCTTTGCTTGGGAGAGGTAAGGGCAGTACTGCAGTATGTGTTCAGGGGTCTGTCTTTCTGCTCCACAATCACAGGCAGCAGATTCTTTTATGCCTATCCTGTACAGGTGTGCTCGAAGACCACAGTGTCCAGTCCGAAGTCTAAAATTTGATGTTTGTTCTTTCCTGTTGAGTTTGTTTATGCTGTCACTCTCTGGTTTGTAATCTCCATTCTGCCTTCTCCACTTCCGCTTGAAAGACTGCTTTAGCGCTGTTTTGGTTTCCTTGTAGCTGTGTGGTGGATGAGGTTGTGGAAGATGC